ATGAACCCTTATTTAGAACATGTGGTAATAACAAGATAAAACCAGCTACAGTCTGGCTCAAGTAAGAAGAATGCCAGGTGAACAGTGGTTTCAGGCGAGGCTGACTGAGCAGCTCAGGTGCCACTGTCAGGAAGAGGTGGCCCCTCCCTCCCTCTCGATGTACTACTACCCAAGATAAAAGTCTTCCCACAAAAGAACTAAGATCTTCCAACTCCCAGCTTCCCTCCTGTCCTGTAGGGAAGGGAATGCTGAGCCTTGCTCTTGCCACCAGTTTGGCCATGCCCCCCCCCTCTAGACTCCATAAAGGTGGCCAAGGGAAAAAGCAGCTGAGTGAAATGTCCATGAACAGCGTGGAAGGATGAAGAGCCACAGGGAAGACTGGAGGCTTGTGAGGGTCTAACCAGTATCTGACTAAATCTCATCTGGGTATTTGAGAAGTTGTCTCCTAAAAAGTCAGTATCTCTTTTAGTAGACTAGGCAAAGCACTGGGCCCTCGCCAGGACAATCAAGGGTCATCCTTCCACTGAGGCTCTCTCTGCCTAACTGCTAGAGCTAGGGGTGATCCTCTCCTGCACCTTCGGATCACACCACTGGCTTCCCCAGGCCTCCACTGGCAGACCAGATTAGGAAACTTCCAGATACTCAAGTCATGAATCAATACCTCAGGACAAGTGGCTTTCTGGAAAGGTATAAGCAATCTTGTTGGCTTTGCTTCTCTAGAGGGCCCTGTGGCCTCTGGAGGAAACTGAAGCCTAGTGAAGGTGGTGAGTAGCCTTTGAGATGGCCTTCACTGCCCCTGGCTCCTGGTTGTCATACCCCAGTGTCATTCCCTCCCATACTGTCAGTGCTGGTCTGTGTGACCACAGAACACAGTAGGAATAACAGTGTACTCTCAAGATGCAGAAACCTGGTGACCTCCATCTGGAATATGCTCTTTCTCTATGGAACCGCCTACCACACTGTGAACAGCCTTTAGAAGGCTTCACATTAGGGAATCAAAGTCTCTTGTTGACAGTCACACAGACATATTCAGGACAGTAGCCTCCTAGTCCAAGTTAAACCTTCAAGTACACCAACTCTGGCTAGCAATTCAACCTCTGAATGACCCTCATCCATTCTCAGACTCATAGCTCACAGAAATCATGGAGAATTCTAAACACTTGCTATTTCAGGAGACCAAATTGGGAGACAATTTGTCACATGAGACAGCTAACACAAGGAGCAGACACAGAAAATGTTCCCAGGGTGACCCAATGACCTTGACCCTGTCTCCCTAAGTCCATGTGTGGAAGGAGCTATTAGGAACTGATCAGGGGCTGGATAGCTGGCTTAGCACTTAAGGATACCTGTTGCTTTTGCAAAGGACCCAAATTCAGATACCAGGACCCATATAGAGGCTCACAACTTTCAGAATTCCAGTTCTAGGGAATCCAACACCATCTTCGGACCTCCACGGGCACCAGGAATATACTTGGTGCACTTAATACACAAACATACATGAAAGCAAAACATTCACACATATAGAAATCTAAATAGTGTTTTTAAAAGAAGAAAAACTGATTAGATTACAAGAGCTGGGCCTTCACCAGTGGCTTATCACCAAGCATGTTTGTTACAACAGCAGGCCAGCTGCCTCATCCCTCATATGAACTCTCTGTGACATGCCGCCCTCCATCATGCTCTGACATGCCAGAAATCCCCTGCCAGGTGCAGCCCCTCAACTCTAACCTTCCTAGCTTCTAAAACTGTAACATAGTTACTTCTGTGGTGCTCTACTCCCACAGGACCAGAGACTAAGACACTTCCTTCAAATGAACTCCTCATGTAAATCTATGTCTTCTCTTTTTTTTACATCTGTCTCCTGGTTGCAAGCAAGTCAATTAATTATTTAGAGAGGTATGACTTACACAACCTTAACTGCCCCTGATTGCACTGCACAAGTTACACACCCTTGCTCTTTGTTGAACCATGGCAAATGAGGAAAATCATTAATTTTGAGCAAGAGGAATATCAAATGCTAAATCTACTGTGTGCTTCTGTTCCATCATCATGTACCCACGGCTAATAAAACACACTTAGAATAGACTAGCCTAGCTCTTCATCCTCCCTGCCTTGTTGGTACTAGAATATACCTTTGATTAGGCAAGGTTTCAGTAACCTAAATTAATAAAATGGGATGGTAGTTAACATGTATTACCCATGTAGGAAGTGTACTTACTGAACCAGCAAAACTGGTCCTTCTTTTCCTCATTTTACAACTAAGAAACTGAAAGAGAGATTAAAACTTATCCACAGCCATATAACTAGCAGGGAACAAAAGGGACTTTTGACCATGAAGTCCAATGCTAGAACCTGCCCCCTACACTAAGCCTCTTGCATTATAAATCCTGCCAGCTGAACTGGGGAGTTGCACTGGGGGCCAAGAGATGGGGACCCAGAACATATATGAGCTTCAGCCTATGATAGTCACTCCCCCCCATGACTGTGCCACACAGCACTCTCAGTCACCAGGCGACAACTGCCTAATAGGTCTGCTTGCCCACCACTGTGGCTAGATGTTCAAGGTGTTTTCTCCTACTTTCTCTTTGTGGAATATTTGTCCACTTTACAGATGTCCTTCCACCTGCAAACTGCCAACTTCCAACCATAAACTGTTCTTCATGCAAGGCTTTGAATTATAAAACTGGCTTCACTAAGGTTTTCCCTAGGATTACCACAATAAAGAGCATTCAGTATGAAACACGCACACAGCACCTTATCAAGCATCGCCATCAGCACAGATGAAAAGCACAAGCTGACAGCAACTCAGCAAGTCACCCAGAAACACATTTCCAGGAATGGAGCCAGGGCTCAAGGCTAAGCTGACTTCCTAACACAAGCCAGCAAAATGAAGGACAGATAGCCCTGCCTATTGCTGATACTCACAGCAGTGTCTCTGAAGATTTCAGTCCTTAGCCTATTGCTGATGCTCATAGCAGTGTCTCTGAAGACTTCAGTCCTTAAAGGCAACTTTACACAGCAGAGATCCCGTGAGGTCAGGTGAGATGAGAGACCAGGTGAGGAAACATGTGATTAGGAACCAGTCTCTCCACTTCTGCCTCTGACATGCCTCTGGTGTCCTAGAACAGTGGCTCTCAACCTTCCTAATGCTGCCATGCTTTAATACAGTTCCTCAAGATGTAGTAACCCACCCAACATAAAATTTTCTTTGAAACTTCATAACTGTAGTTTTGCTACTGTATGTTATGAATTATAAATACCTGTGTTTTCTGATGGTCCTAAGGGACCCCTGTGAAAGGGTTTTTGACACACAGATTGAGAACCATGGCCCTAGAGATGCACATTAGGATGCAAAGGGGAGAAGTTCAAGAAGCAGAGTGCAGACAGGAGGATGGTAACTGTGGTAAATTCAGGTGCATGAAAATCACTCACACCACAACCTAACTCTGAGAGCCTGGCAGAGCCTCTGGACATGCTTCCCCGAAGCCCTATTCAAATGCAGTTTCAAAGAACCACCAGTGTTACGGTTTTGGACAAACACGTCCGTCCCCCACAATTCCTGTTCTAATAAGAGCCCCCAGGTGTGGCCCATGTTTGGGGAGGTTATAGAACCTTTAGAATACATAGCCCAGGAAGCAGAACTGAGCCTTGAAGATGAAAACCACTTCTGGTACCAGGATGAGCCCTTTGCTTCCTGTCTGCTGCAGTGCTGTAAGCAGTCACACTGCCATTTCCTGTATATTGTGGTGATGTAAAACAACCATGTCTTCCCTAAAAGATGAATGAATCGAAATCCCCTGAACTGTTAAGGCAAAACCAGCCATTCCTTCCCTAAGTGGCTTCTGTCAGATATTTTGCTACAGCAATAAGAAAGAAACTGTTCAGCTCACCTAAAATGGAAAAAAAACTGGAAACAATCCAAATGCTAAATTGACCAATTGGTGTGGTCAATTTAATATGTTAGCCACATCGATACAATGAAATACCACATACAGGTCTAGAAAAAATGGCTAACCTCAAATCTGTTTTTATAGTGAAAAATGGAGGAATGAGGGGAAATGAAAAGTGATGGAGTGTTAACTGTAAGTGTATAGATAAGTGTGTCCATAGGAGAACAAACTCAGTAAAGTGGATGTTTTCATAGGAGCTGCCATTCTTAATTCATCACATTTTATTTAATAAGATATTAAACAACAGCAAAGAAAAAAATTAATTAGTGGCTCTTAAATAAAAACAGGCTCAATTCTCCTATGATATTATGGGACCCAAAACTTTGCTGCCCTGAAAACACAGGTGGAAACAACACTATTCCCCACAGTGCTGTGGGGCCCATGCACAACCTGTGAAGGGCACAGCCTGCACATGCCTGGGAACACAATGGTATGTACTCAGGTCATATGTTGGAGGTATTACAGAAGACTGAAAACCTTAACATCCAGTTATTGGCAGACTGACTAAACAAATTCTGGTGAAGTCAGATCAGAACACATTGGGAACTACTAGCAAGAGGATGGCAACCATGAGTACACACAAAGAACCCTGCCCAGGATGCAGAGAGCTATATAGAAGAGGGAAGGAATAAGCATGCATGCACGCATCCACTTCAGGCACACAGAGCATCACCTGCTATTGGTTATAGTTAAGCCAGCAAGGAACAAACTGAGCAGACAAAGGAGGATGCATATCAGTTAACCTTCTTTTACTTTGAAACCCATGCATGTGTGCCACTCATTCAGAGAAGCACATCAGATGAAAATGCAGAAATGTAATCTCCTTTGGTACATCCTTTTCATCTAACTAAACTATGAGCGAGGTGTGGTTTGCACATGCCTGTAATCCCTGAACTTAGAGGCCGAGGCAGGAGAATTCCAAGTTTGAGGCCCATGTAGGCTACATACATAGCATACATACATAGCTGTTTTCTCAAAAACAAACAGACAGAAGATAGGTGTGGAACTGTGGCTATGCATGCTTGCCTCTCCATCCCTTGCCCTGTCTACCTTGCCAGTGCCTGGACCTTTGTGGTATGGCGCTCCTGCTGCTCTGTCACCTTCCTTTTCAAGGCGTCCACCTCTTGCCGGAGTGAGGCTGAGTGCTCCATCTCACCATCAAGGAGATTCCGCAGTGACCTGGAAAAGAGGGCCCCACAGTTCAGATGCTGTTCGTCCAGCCCATCCAGAGGACAATGCAGTTCATCACTGCCCACAGACTCTGCACAAACCATTAAGCTGATGCTAGCAGACAGCAAGCCTGAGCGCAGTGACTGCAATGAGCCCTAGGGAAGTCACCTATGGTCAGACTCGGGGCCATTACTCCTGTGACAGCTTAGATCAAGGGAAAACAAGGAGCTCAACAAATGCTAGGGAGATACTTTTAAAGACTCCATTCAAAGGTGCAGCAGTTAAGCACAAGTTCTGACACAGCCTCAATGGGTAACACAAAGGGGAGGGTGTCAAAACAGGCCAAATGAATATTCTGCCGCAGAAAAACAGAATACTTGCTCAGATTCCTTGACAGACATTTCATCCTTTTTCCACCACTGCCCACAGAATAGACCAGGACTCAAGAGTCTACTGCAACCTCCATGATAAACTAGTGTATATGGCATCATATTGAGTATATTTTAGCACAGCGTTATCTTATATTTCTATACTTTTTAGCCTTTATAGAATGCCATTTGCATATATGTTTCATGTCTCCAGAAAATGACCAGGGGTAGCAATTATTCTAGAAAGGATCACAGGGTACCACCCTGATGTAAATCAAATATGGTTCTACTTCACTGTACCTAAATGACTCTTTCTAGAAAAGCAATTGTGATGTATTTACAGACCACATCCAGAGGATGCCTGCCATGAACATCAGGGTTTAGCAAATAAACCAAGCTCCCACAGTGCCCCACCACCACTGAGCTCCCCAAGAACCATGTGTTCACTGCAAGCTTGAAGAAGATTTCCCTCCTGGAACATGCTATCCCCAAGAAACATCCCGGGGGATTCTGTCTGCGGCTGCTTCCAAGAGCATCACTTCAGCTAGAGCAAAGAAATGAACCTTACAGTGGCCAGAAGCCTTCTGTTGAGAATGTGTGTGAGCTGGAAGTGGTGCTATCTAGACTTCTAAGAACAGCCTCTGCTGTTGCAAAAATTACACTTATTTGCCTTTGTATGGTTCCACAAAGGATGAAGAGCAGCTTGTCAGTTATATCTGAAATAAGGTCTAAAGGAGAACTGTGACTTCTATCACCAGTAAAGGACAGGAGGTGACCTAAATACATGCCCACCACCTCCCTGAGTGTCCAAAGGCTTTGTGAATGACCTCAGGCAAGCCTGCCACTGGCCACCCCAGCCTCATCTCTAGCAGGGAGAATGGTCAACTTCAGACATTAGCATGGTGGCAACTGGCAGTGCCTAGTATGGGTTTCAATAGGGAAGAAAGAAATTAAGAAAACACTTTGCCTCTTAGAGTTGACCACTGGGTTTTGGTCAAATTAAAAGAATCTAAATGTTGTCTTGTCCCAAGAATCCCCAATTTGAGAGTGAGTGAATACAGAATATAGACCCTCAGTTAAAGGCCACTTCAAGAGTATTTTTTGGGCCCATTCCAGAAAAGTAAGAAATCTGTTAACCCAAGCAGCCAAATCATGCATCTCAACTGCCTGTAACTCCTTTTTCCAAGACATCCAGTCCCCTCTTCTGGCCTCCATGCACATCTATATGCACGCACATATGCACACACGCACAAGAATTTAAAGTAATAACAGTAAGATAAGTTGTCAGTCACAGCAATGACAGGAGGGCACCATTCTCTCCATCCATTCGCTCTGCCACTGGGGACCAGAATGTCAGAGAAAGAGGCAGCCATGATGTCACAGTACCCGTTCTCTTCTTCCAATTCATCCTTTCTGTTCATCATGGCCATGATGGCTTGGCGTAGTTCATCTGAGGAAAGAAAAGGCAATGCTTATGAGCAGATGATCCTGTAAGCTGTCCCCTTGCCTCTCTATAGTGCATGCCATTACACGACTTGTCTAGTTAAGTTCCCTGTTCCCGAGCAAGAATTCTTTTACAGCCTCAAACATCCAGTGGGCTCAACTGTCACTTCCATCCACACAAACAGAAGGGTAAGACAAGCTAAGAAAATGTGTTGGGAAGAAGGGTGAGTTCCAGGGAGAACAAACTCAACTTGCAATTTCTGAGTGCTTTCCCAAGTCTTTGTTCATGGACAATGTCTGTTGTGAGCACTGAATTGTTCCTCTTACAGCCATTTATCAGCCCAGACATCGATCAGGTAGTATCGGACTCCATACTTCCATAAAGACAATCCGCCAAGATTAGCAAACATCTGGCTCTCTTACACTGCCTTCTGAGGGTAGCATACAGCTGATATGGGACTATATTCAGTACTCAGTTCTTTCGCACAGAAAAGCATTTCAGGATAGGAAATGACAACATGCATCCACACTTCTGATCTCCATTAATCTTAACCACTGGTGCTGTACTGAAGGAATGGCCAGATCTTAGCTGCATCTCAAGATATGGAGATCATAGGGTTGTTTTATCTATTTCCTTTACATGATTTCACCTTACGATAGCTGCTAGGAAGTGTAGGGCCCAAATCACACATATAGTGGCAGTATACACTATGTCTAGAATCAACTACATGGACCCAAACAAAGATGTCACAACAGGTATTCCCAAAGGCTCAGTAGCCAGTTTCATGCTTTAAGAACAGAGGCATTAATGATCCTAGCAAATTTCCCCAATTTTAAAATCTTTCCCCATAAAAGTTAGTAATAAGAATTCAAGATTCTTATTAGGGACTCTTCCTCTAGGAAGAGTGTGAGACTGACAAACAAGAAGATTATTAATCTATGGTCCAATCAAGCAGCCCCAAGAAACAGAAGATGCTAGGAAAAGGCCTAGGGCAGAAAACAGGCAGGACCGAGCCACTGAACACTGCTCTGCCTAGAACCACAATGGCCCAGGGTTCATCCATTCATTCACTCATTTGTCTACCAAGAACACAAAAGTTTCAAGTACCTTCCCAAGGAAAGAGTCAGGCTTCCACCTGGCCAAAGGAAGAGGGCCTTCCAAGGAAGGTTCCTAGTAGAGAATAACAATGGCCATCACAAACCTATGTGAAGCCAACTCAGTGAGGTTTCCCTGGTTACCATGGTCCCTGTTCAGAGACTCACTACAGAGTGTCAGCCTCTCTGTGTCCTTCCTCCAGATGCAGGGGTGCAACATCCTTCTCACCTTCCTGGAAGCTAGATAATCAAATGAGAGTAAGACACCTTTGAAGGAGTGCCTCTCATAGGTGACAGCAGGAAGCACAGAAGGGCCTGCTGCTAGGCTATATAATTTTATTCTAATTGATAATCTACAGAGGAAAAATAAACAAGTAATTTATCCCCTTGCCACTGTGGCCATGAAGGAAAATAAAACCAACCAGATTCACTGTTCTGTTGGCAGCAAGGAGGACAAAACATTCTGGACTCAGTCTTTAGGCAAGCCAGGCCAGTGCTGTGAGCCCTGTGGACACAGGCTTGGTTACTCATCCGCTCTAGGGCCTGCATGGATTCTGAACTTTCCTCCAGGCTTTCTTCCACACTGGAATTCTTGGCTAGCCTGAACCACTCATGAGCAAAGGGAAGGAATGCTCACAGTCACTATCTAGAGCTGGACAGCACAAAAATCTCCTAATTCAAGATCCTATACTGTTTGCCAGTAACCCTGCCTGGCCTCCTCCCACTCTACAGTAACACATCTGGTTTACACTCAGGAACTGCATGTCCTGTACCCAAGGTGGGACCAGAGTACACAGTAAAGAGTGGACTGGACTAGACAGGACAGGCATTGTCACACTGATAAGTCCTCAGTCTCTCTACTTTGCTCCACCCCTCCCAGAGGGCACAGCTGATCCACATAAGCATAGCCCTTGGCATCTGTGTCCAACCCTTGTCCCAAGGTCAGCCACAGTGACAGCATCTGGCTGGCTGGAGGCTAACTGAGGGGTCTCCAAATGATCCTGACTCCACTATTGTTGCCCAATCCATGGTCAGACTTTCCCTTTAAAATGGAAGTTATTATGCACAGATGTTATCTCAGATTTCCTGATCAGAATCCATCTTTCTTCATGTTAAATCTCCCACTTACATTCTTACATGAGAAAATCCCAGCTCATCTACCCAGGCCCTGGTAGCAATAAGCCTCTTTTCAAAAGCTTCCAATTTCGTTTGCCCCACAGAAGCTACAGGTAGGAAACTGAGTCACCTTGGTCTTCCTTGTACACATAGTATATTGAATGTAAAATGCATACCATGCTGCACATATCGATGCCTGGAATCCCTTCTCACTGCATGTTTAACAAGGTGTTTGGATATGACTCCAGAAAAATGAGTGGCCACAGAGACCATTTTAATCTAACTTTCCACTTCTAAAACAGCAAAGTTTCAAATGATAAATGTCACATGTTTTCTCTCATATGTGGAATCTAGATATGAGTGCATATGTGTCTATGTCTGTGTGTCTGTGCATGGCTCTGTGTCTGTGTGTGTATCTGTGTGTCTATATCTGTATGTCTGCATATGTATCTGTGTGTGTGTCTGTGTATGTGTCTGTGTGTATGTGTCTGTGTGTATGTGTCTGTGTGTATGTGTCTGTGTGTGTGTGTGTGTGTGTGTGTGTGTGTGTGTGTGTGTTATAGAAAAAGAATACTAAGAGAGGAAGAGCAAGCAGGGGTAAGAAGGTAATGCAATATATGTGGCAAGAAAGCAGAATGGGTTTTTCAATTGAGGAAGGAGACCAACAAAGGGAAATGGGGGAGAGAAAAGTGGGAAAGTATAAGGACATATAATTATGAAAATGGCACAATGAAACTCATTACATTACATGTTAACTATAAATGAATAAATAATGCATACATACAGAAATCCATGGCAATAATAGCACTTTCTATGAAGCTACAATACTTCTGCCCAGCAAGTCTTGTTTCTAGTCTCACAACCTCCTGTCGAGGGCAATCAATAGCACAAAGCAGGGAAACAGATTGTGACAGTCCCTTCAGAATTTCCAGCACCTCAAACCTGCACCAACTGCAATGGTGGATACTGTCCTGGTGGGCAGATGTAAAGGGCAAGAGGACGCTCAGATATGGATTCTAGTAGCTTCCACTCCAGGGGCAGAAAATACACAACAAGTTGCTACTAACAGGCTCTGGGACCAGCAGCAGTTCAAGGCCCACTCAGCTATGCCTGGATACTGACATTCCAACTTAGAGCTGAATGTTACATTTTCTGGGTGAGTCTTGAAGAACTGTTCCCCCAGAACCACACAGAATGATCAACCAGTGGCAACAGCCTCCAGTAGCCACAGGAGAGCCTGGCCTGCAGTTCAATATGCAGTAGCCTGGGAGTAGCAGCAGGACAACTGATGCTGATGTGACCCAGCCCTGTCATCCTGACATGACTGTGCCTGTCCACACACTGTTTCCAGCCTCCTGGAGGTGCCCTGTATTTACATAAACATCAAAATAGTAAATGACAATCAAGTGCAGACAAAGCAAGCTAGTGGAGACCCTTTTAAACGTCCATCCCAGGGAGAAGGGCTGTCAGCATCCCTCCTGCCTCTCACAGACTTCCACAGAGACTAGTGGTGATGGTGAGAAAGGACACAGCCCTAAAGCTCTGTCCACAAACTCTATATGAACTCATTCTTGCTGCTATGCTGGCTGCTGGCTGTCATGTGCCTTCCTGAGCAGCAGTGAGGGAAAGTGGTTTTCACGTGTCATGCGACTGTCACCATCCACCAGTGTCAAGTGCCGTGCATGAACAGAGGCTCTCCCTGATGTGTCACTTTCTCTCCAGCATGGCACAGCTTCTTATTTGTAGTCTGTATCATTGTGACTCTTCCTTGCCATTGAAGCACAATCTCCAGACACAGACACAGAGTAGAGTCTCTGCCTGCCAGTGGAGCCTTGCCATGCCAGGCAGTCCCTCTCCTGAAGCCGAATGTCCCATGGCCATCTATCTCAAAAGTAGTTCTTTGCCAGCTTCAACCACCAGAAATCAATCTGATATATATATATATATATATATATATATATATATATATATATATATTATATATTATATATTATATATTATATATCTCCTTTCCAATCACTGCACAAAAGATGGCTTTGTCCACAAATGCTGCCAAGGCAAGGAACAGTTCTAGAAGCAAAAACCAAGACTTCAAGTTCCACTTCTGCTATGAACTGAAATAAATCTCAGGCAGAAGAGTACTTAAATATGGGAAATGAAGCAATCAAAACTATAAATATATGAGCAAACACTCCTTCAGTTCTCCTGATATGAAGGCAGAGAAAGGACAGCTGGACCCACCTTAGTTTCTGCTCATTGAGGGCCACTGAAATGAACAAGCTTGTCATTACAGGCAGTTGATGTAGACACTTCGTAGGAGCCACAGCCTTCCTAGCCAGGGCCATACTCCACTCTGGACATGCAAGCCTCAGCACACACTCCACCATACACAAAAAAAGAGAACCAATTGACCTCTCAGCTTGCTCCCCTTAGGATGAGGAAAGGGCAGTGACCATTCCATGGGAACCCTACCTACTCCCCCTGCATGCAACCATTTGCATACTGTTCCCTGTTGCTTTCAGAACATGGCAGCATGTTGCCCTGCCTGGCCACTGCCCTTCACCCCCCCCATCCTGCTCCCCAACAAGAGATGAAAGAAGCTCTCTGCAGCTGTGTATGTGGACCTGATCTGAGCCAGACACTGTGGGCCACTGGCTAGAGAGCCACTTTGGTAAGAAGAGAAGAGCCAGGCCAGGTGGGATGGGGATCACCTTCAAACCCAGCACCAGGGAGGCACAGGGAGGGTCCCTATAAGTTCAAGACAAGCCTGATCTTTCCCTTCTCTGGTCACATCAA